TTAGCGTGAAAACCATTATCCAACTCATGATTAGACTAAATAAGCTGAACTTACTGCCATGTGCTAACAAGCTTACATAGACACACGTGGCTGACATTATCACTGTAACAGCCAAGAATCTAGAATTGTAGGTTAACTCAACATCTGAATACTTCAAGTTTTCTTGCTTCAAATATTTAAGGGACTATTACTAAACTACAGTATATTGAGTATTGACTGAACTCCCCCCGCATCTCACATAGATCCAGCGCGCCAAACTGCGTAGTTCTCATATAGGTTAAAGCCCATCACAACCTCTGTTAGAATTAAATATTTCTTGCGGATTATTTCAAGTCACCTTTGGATAGTCATGATGCGTCTACTATTCTAATTAATCATTTCTGCTGTTCAACTGTATTATCCGACATGATTATTGCTTGTTGGGTAAAAAAAAAAAGATGTTTATCTCTATTTATGTGTTTGTTAAAATACTTGGGATAATATCTTGTTCCACTTGCTATATACTTAGAACAGCATGCATAATCCAGATTTATACCCATGTTTATTGTATGATCTTCGTACTTGGATAACCTGTAAAACATTTTTTTATCAAGAGTTATCGTCCGTGTTTTTGCTTGTTCTGTATACTTAAATGTTTGTCACTTTAAATCACGTGTACTTTATATTTATATTTTTAGATAGTGTCCCGTTTATTTGCTTTTCCTTTTTTTTTTTCGTTATCATAATCTCAGAACAAATACAGCTGTAGATCTCAAGAACTCGTATACTGTATTTGTAAATTATTTTAAAATGTAGTGTCCGTCATCAACTTATCACCCACTACGCACGCACGGGTACATTTCATAATCATGCTAACCAACAATCTGGCTAAACCACATCCAAGTGAACCGACCATCTGGTTAAACCACTTCCAAGTTAACCAAGAATCTGGCTAAACCACATCCAAGTGAACCGACCATCTGGTTAAACCACTTCCAAGTTAACCAACAATCTGGCTAAACCACATCCACGTTAACCGACCATCTGGCGGAACCACATCCAAGTTAACCGACAATCTGGCGAAACCACCATTCTAGCCGACCGACATCATTAGATTTTTTAACTACATCCATGTTTACCAACACGCCACACGATCCACATCTGGACTCTTCCTATTTTTTTTTTGCCCTGATCACTAAGTATTGGTCCAATGGGGAAAACGACAAACCGTTGTCGTAAATTTTTATTTGACAGATGACCAATTTATAGCTTCAGCAACTTATCCACATTCTTATTTTTGTATGAACAAATTATTTCCAAAGCATAAAAGAAAAAAAAAACGCTTTAAAAGCGGAAAAACGACCGACTATAATGAATTTTAAGCTATGAACACAACTTTTTTTTTTTCTTATAACGAACTCAGAAATCAGAATAATGCGCAATCAAAATTTATTGTATGAAATTATCAATGCATATTTTTAGATGTGCACAAGACATTTGAAATTCAGTACGAGATTTCTTCAACCGATGAGACCTGAGCCGACGGCCTGATGAAACCATCTGAAATAAAATTATAGAGAAATCAATATCTGAAATTATTTTAGATAAAAATTTACTCTTGATTTAAATGATGAATTGAAATTCTCCCCTCAGGCCTTCACTACTGGCTGTCTTAACTCAAAGTCTCTGTTTATGGACAATTTTTTTTTTTTTTTTTTTTTTAATTTATTATATCATTATT